TCACGTAGTGCAAAAATGTATAAGATAATCTGAAGCTTTGGAGCGGAATTTACACCAATAATTGAAGATTTATGGACAGTAATTTGAAAAATAAGTGTTTTGATTATGAAAACATACAAAATAACAACATTTTCCGATTTAGGGTCAGGTTTGTTACAATTTATTGAAGGTGGCTCTTAAATACGTTAGTTACATTATTATTTAGACTTTGTTTAAAAGTGTTCCCGACGCAGGCATAATTCTTATTAACGGGTAGAATTTCGAAAATATATATTTTTGTGCGTGCCTCTTCACGGAAAAGATTCCTGATGAATGACACAACACACTTCTCTTGTTAGTTTTCTTCAAAAGGAAACTTAATTTCTCGGGTATTTGAAAATCCAAAATAAACACTTCCATGATTTTGACCCATATGGATTTTCGTATTGAAATTAAGTCTATATGCAACAATAATTGTAAAAATCACCAAGAGGACATCTTGGTATCTCCATATTCCAGACGAACCAACACAGCAACAAGTGAAGCTAACAACCTAATTGTTAGAAAATGTGTTAAATAGCGGTGTCGATAAAGTTCTAGGAGATACGACCGCAGTATCTGTAGTACCGCTATCGCGGTGACAGCAACTGAGGTGTAGCTGGTACTCTTGACGATTGAGAAAATCGGTACCAGGAAAATAGCCATAATTGCAGCATGTGTGTCAGTGATTGTCTAATAACACTAGGATGATTATAGTGATGTACGGTAATGCATTCACGGACAAACAGATGTCAGAAGGGAGCAATTGAGATGTTACTGTACATGATATTACTTGCGTTGCAATAGACGCGCCGGTTGACTGAGCAGATAGAATGAGATTAGATTGCATATATGGGAGAAATATTCGCTAAATAAATTATGTATATGACGAAACTTTATACCTTTTAAAAATAAACGTAAATACTTTAAAGGAAAAAAAAATGGAAATCAGCTGCCTAAAAAGAAACAATTGTTTCTACTCGCGGAAAACCGATTAAACACTAGGAGTACCTCAACCAAATCCAGTCCTAACTTCTGGTTTGAAAAATAATTAAGCTCTTAAAACATGGTGAAATGATAAAGGTAAGTATTAAGTCTCATTATGAACACTTGTTTTACAAGGTTGGCCAGACTTGGACTGTGGCGAATCAAATTAAATAGTATAGACCGAAGAAGAATCATTTTCGAGAGATATTTCAAATCTGAAAATCCTGTAGGAGGTATTTTTAGGTATTGAAATCATCATCGCAAAAAACAGCATTATCTTTTAATGGTTTTCAATGGCCTGATGGCGTAGGCGAAGTTTTTGGGTTCAATAGGGAAACCATTTTTGTGCATAGGAAATTCTGAAAACCTGGCATTGTTTCATTATTAGTCCCTATGATTTTTAGATTGGTGTCCGTACAGTGTTTTTACTATTTTTTTTTTTGACGCCAATACATTCCTTTTACGAATTTCAAAATATATCATTGATTAATCGAGTTATCAAAGCAAAAAAGCAATAACTTCCAAACTACACTGCTTTTATTCTCTGTATGATACAAGTACTGTCTTTTGATTCCTTTATAGCCTATTATGATCTTTACCTATTTAGCTTTTTCATGCAATAACTCTTTGTGAATGCGTATTTATCGTTCTAAATAATTGACGGGTTCGGGGAAAAAACACGAATGTCACAAATTTTGTGTTTTGTAGTTAGAATCGGCAACATGTAGCTTTAACGCAGTACAATCCCATGAGGTATCGGAAACACGCAAAAACAACGACAGTTCGTAGTTATGCCCAATTGAAAACTTGCCGTGCAAGGAAGAAATGCCAATATATTTAACTTTTTTTTCAATTTCTTATAAGGAATCTATGGTACCCCGTCAGATCTTTGACCCACCCTGTACAACGAGTCTAGGACACTTCAAACTTTTAAATTCACTCATCTCGAAACTTACTTTCTGTGACATTCATCTTTTCCCTGTATCTTTCAATTACTTTTGGCCCGATAGAATAATTTTGAAAAATATTCTTCGTTCAAATTGACAAATAAGAAAACATGCTGTTTTTAGTTTATTTTATTTTAATTATTAAAGTTTGCTGAATGTAATTATACAGGGTGTTACTTAATGATAAGCGAATATTTAAGCTTGTGAATCTATATGAAAAATTAATGTCAATATACTTTATAAACTATGGTCCAAAAATGTTTCCTTGCAAAAACTCGGGGTGTCTAAGTTTAAAAAAAAAATGGAAATTAATTAATATTTTCAGAACCGCGTCAGATATTTCACTGATATTTAGTACGTAGTGAAAATGAACAAAGTTGCATATTTTTCAATGCAAAAATAATTTTTAGCTTTAACACTGGCGTGCGTACGGGTATTGACTTCGATATTTTGTAAGAAAAAAATGGTACGCCAATGGTTTTTTGCCAAATAAATTTTTTTTCCTTCGATGCGCAATTTTTGAGTGAAAAAATAACTTGCAAAATTATTATTAATTTAATTGGAAAAATTAAACACGTTAGGGGTAATTGCACAACAACAATACAATAAACCTAACATTAAAAACAATGAAATGATTACAAAAATTGTTGAAAATGGCCCCCTTCACTTAGTGTGCATGATTCCGTCCTCCTTCTCATGGAATTGCGCACTCGATGAAATATCCCTGGAGTGTTTTTTATTCTATCACAAGCTGCAACTATTCTTTCTCTAAATTCCTCTACAGTGTTAATGGGACTTGTGTACACTAGTGTCTTAAGATAGCCCCACAAAAAGAAATCTAAACTGTTGAGGTCTGAGGACCTTGGTGGCCATTCTTGGGGCCCACCACGGCCTATCCAACGATTTGGATAAACAGTTTGTAAATAATTACGAACCGCTACATTGAAATGAAATTGAAACATTTGTTTCTTATCACTAACGGAACATCATCAATCAACAAAGGCAACTGTTGTTGAAGAAAATTGAGGTAAGTCTGTCCGTCAAGTCGTCCCGGCGAGAAGAATGGGCCAATAAAGTGGTTGCCAATAATTCCTGCACATACGTTAACCGAAAATTGGTGTTGGAAATGGGTGTCGGTTACGGCATAGGGATTTTCTTCTGCCCACAAATGATTATTGTGGAAATTCTGAATGGCATTTAGAGAAAAATTAGCTTCATCCGTAAACAGAATCATTGATTCAAATTGCGGATTTTGTGAAATTTTTTGAAGATACTACTGACAAAAGGTCACACGCCTTGGAAAATCAATGGGAAGTAATGTCTGTACTCTTAAAATATGGTAAGAATCCACTAAAACTCTCCAAACAATTTGATGGCAAATATTTAAGTGTCTAGCGATCTTCCTCGTACTCGTTTCAGGATGTTCTTCGACTTCGTGCAGCGCAGCTTCCTCAATTTCAGGTGTTCTCACACTTAGAGGTCTACCTTCAGATGTTCCTTTTCGGACAGAACCAGTTTCAACATGACGACGATGTATATTAGAAAAGGTTCGACCATCTGGCAAAGCACGATCGGGATATCTCTGGTGATAAATCCGTCTGGCTTGCTCACCATTACCGTCGGAAAGGCCATGCATGTAATGCATTTCCGCCGTTTCTGCATTTGAATAATTCACCATTATTAACAAGATTGTAAAAACCAAATAATGGAAAAGGTGTCACAGCGAACAGATTTGAGTAACAGAGACTTGTCAGATGTCAAAAGTCAGTGACATATTCTAGAGCAACTAGATATTTACTGCTAAATTGCATTCTTCAATTATTACATTAATTTTCTCGGACAATAGAACGGTTTTTATTTTTTTACTCAAAAATGGCGCATCGAAGGAAAACAATTCAAGAAAGATAATTTGTTGCAAATTGAACGGGAATTGAAAAATATTTTTTATTTGGCAAAAAACCATTGGCGTACCATTTTTTTCTTAAAAAATATCGAAGTCAATACCCGTATACACGCCACTGTTAAAGCTAAAAATTATTTTTGCATTGAAAAATATGCAACTTTATTAACTTTCACTACGTACCAAATATCACTGAAATATCTGCAGCGGTTCTGAAAATATTAATTAATTTCCATATTTTTCCTAAAACTTCAACACCCCGAGTTTTTGTAAGGAAACATTTTTGGACCATAGTTTATAAAGCAAACTAACATTAATTTTTCATGTAGATTCACACCCTTAAATATTCGCATATCATTAAGGAACACCCTGTATAATTATCAAGGTGAATGTTGAAAAGACTTAATTTTGTGCTATTCATTTGAATTATGAATAAATTATATTTAAATAAAGTACTGCATTACTTAGCGTTTCCTTCGCAAAATGAATATAAATAGATTATGAAAACTAGGAAAAAAGGCAGTAAATTTGTTTCTGCTCTCGTAATTTGAATTATTTCGATTCTTTGGGGCGCTATTCGTTTAAATGAAACCACCTATTTTACTTCGTGTAGCGTCATCAAATTATTAATAGAATACTTACGCTTAAGTCATTAATGGAATAGTAAAACAGAGGAAAGCTTTCAAGCTTGGCAATTTCAGAAATGAAAAAATAACCAATAACGATTATTTCCGCGGCTGATCTGGATTCTCCTTGAGCAAACCAACCGGCTTTCACACGACTAAAGATGAAAACGTTATCTTTGGAAAAATCGATAATATGTTGGTAGTAGTGTGGTAGCGGTACGGGTACCAACCAGGTCGCAATTAGTGAGGCATTCGGTCGGTTTTAGTGGCTGAGCGGCGACTCTTAATATACTCGTTAATTACGGATGCATCGGCGAACGGCGAAGGACCACCGTCGTGGTGGCAGTACCCGGTACCGCCGATAAAAAGGACGTTTTGTCACCGCTAACAGAGAACGTTGTACCAGCGCGCCGCCGAAAGTCGTTCTCTTTAAAATGCCGCATCGCCGCCGCGAACGCTCCACTCGCTCTCATCGAAATTGGGTAATAATCAACGGCAGGTATAAGAGAAGGATTAATTATTCTAGGAGAGGTAGTACCGATGATTCGCCAAGAACGATATAATCGTCATCAACCAAGCGAATTTATATCCCTTTAATTAGAAACAAGACATTTATGGTTTTAGCTATTCACGGTATCTGGTGCGATTGGATTTGCTTGATATCCTTCATAGACATTTCAAGATGTAAAATGCACTAAAGTGTAAGTATCGAAGTCTGAGAAAATTGAGTTCAGAATTCTGGATTTTTTCAACTGAATGAACTATTTTTACGACAGAACAAAAGTGAATAAATATTGCAAACTTACATGACTTTATAGAGAGACGTTAAAATGTGAGTTCAGACCATAATAATTGTTGATGAGGTCTAAAATAAACGACATTTCGTCTTTAATTAGTAACACGTGATTTACTGCTTTTATATTCTGCAATAACCAATGTTTTCATAATATACTTATCAACTTTTCAAAGGAAACGCTACGTAATGCAGTATTTTATTTAAATATAATTTATTCATATTGGAATTCACATGAATAGCACAAAATTAAGTCTTATCAACATCTAACAATTCAACTTAATAATTATATAATTACATTCAACAAAAATTAATAATTAAAATAAAATAAACTAAGGGTGGATTTCACTAAGGTTGTCAAATTAACAGTCTGCTATTCTCCACCTATAGGGTAGCAGCCCGTCATATACAGCGAATGAGCTTCAACATCAACAAATTTCAGCAACCAATTCCTATGAAATGCTGAAAACTAAATATTGTCAAAGTACGAGATGACAACTTGTCATTGAAACATCAGCAGCTTATTGAATATTAAGAAATTACATATAATTCTGTCAAAATTTAAAGAAATGTTTGATTTTTGAATAAAATTCATGTTTTAATTACTATTGTTGATTTTTTATTCATGTTTATATTATTTTCTCCATTTGATATGCGATTTTACTGATTTAACATCACCACCCGTGTTTTTTCCTATAAATCTCTTGCAGATAGCACTTAAACACATACTTGATGATAGACTCTACAAAAAATTTCATAAATATTGGTCGTTTCCAAACATTCATTCATTTACTTGCCGTTCATCAGAACCACTACTATGGCACCTTAGATTGATATTCCCACAAAACCATTCAGGTTTTTTGATATCCATACATCCATAAAGTTGAATATTTTTCGTTGTTCAGGAACTGAACAAACATCCACACTATATTTACAGCGATTAAGAAATACCCAAATATATGTCGTAAAGCTACCAGCAAACCTAAAACCTGCAAAAAAAACTAGAAATTTGCAATATTTTTGTTTTTCACGAGTACACATTCTAGGTTATATAATTATTATTTGAATAACAGCTGATTATTACATTTCAAAACTCCCCAACGAGTGACACATGTGTGGGATCCGTCAACCCTTGGTCCCAGTCACAAAACATATACTATACACTGAAGAAGGTTTAATTCCATGCTATTCAATGACAACACGGTGACCTCTGTGGTTGTCAGCGGCCATTTTTTGAGGTTGCGACATGGTTGCCAGATTGTGCATTAATATCCAGTTTCACCCCTCTGATCCCAGTAAAGTACGCTCCGCCAACATTCCTAATCTTGACAACTTGTCGTTCTTGTCAACTGGGCTGCAAGGTGCGGTGTTGCCTTTACTATTTTACATTTTGCTAAAATCTTATGACAAATAAAAGCTTCAACTGAAATATTGACGAATATGAACGGATATGCATAGAATTTAGAATATAAATTCATATTGCAAATTTCGGATTGTCTATGCATGGACTTGAACCGAATTTTTCGGTATTTTTACCAAAAAGAGAATATTTATCGATAATACCATTCTCCACGATTTTCCAAAATAATTTAAATATTTCTATACTTGCCAAAAAAGAGCTGAAACCAAAAATACAGCTAGAAGTTAATTTTAATTAATTACATCCTCATCCCTTACTTCGCTTGCCCTGAAAATATGTTTGTGCATACAAAAGATACAGACTGGTAGATTACCGTCATTACCTCATCACCGGACAAGCAATAAAGAAACCTAAACCTGTCTGTTTTCAAAATAAATATTTAATTAAAATGAGAGGTGAGTTCAGGGGTAAAACAGAAAAATATTCACAATCCCATAAGCAAGAATCGAAAAAGGAGTTTCCAGAATGGTTTGCAAAGTACTTTGAAAGAGCGACCAGTATGCACATTGTAGAAGTTGTAATATAGAAACTATGGCCTCAAACAACATGTTGTGTGCGCGCCCAATACAATAACAGACGTTTTTCATGACTCAAAGGTCCTTGATCTACCACTGATCTTGGGACGGCATTTACCTTATAATGAACTCAACGACACTATTCACCGATTCCATTTTTTTTTCCGGTTCGGCAACACTGTAGATCACTTTAAAAGCAATTGATATCCCAGATGGGTTATAATAATTGAAATAATAAGAAAATATAACAATGTTTGGAGATATATCTTCATAAATAGGTATTTTTGATTCCGACTAATATCTAGACGATGAATAATAGGTGGACCTGGATACTTTTACAATTATCGATGTTTTAGGACCCAGAAATGCAGAATGTGCTGTTTGTTTACATTTGGTATGGATTTCTAGATCATAAATTGGCAAAAATTGCTTTTGATCTAACAAAGATGATGTACCAGTAGAAATCCATTTTATATCCTTTTTTTTGCAAAATAACAAAAATCGGTACATTTCTACAGGTACATATTATGTACAACACCCTGTACGTGATATACAGACAAAACTAGATTGCCATGCATGAACAGTCGTTCGATATGAGTGATTTAAAAAATTGAAGACACCTAGGCTCGGTGTTCAGGGTGGGTCAAAGATCTGATGGAGTACCATAGATTCCTTATTATAAGAAATTGAAGAAAAAATAGGTTACAAATAAAAAAATATTTTTTGATATTCATGGTTTCCCAGTTTTTTAATGGAAAGTTACAAAGAAAGTGTTTTTGAACCACGCACTTGTTCAACAAACTGTACAGAAATTTGTCAATGTAGACAAAATCTCACATTCAAAGTTACCTAATAAAATAGTAGAAAGTAAGTAAAAGTTTACTTACAAAGCCATGTTTGTCGGAGATGTTATTGGTGAGTTTCAGCTTGTGGAAGGACACAACTTTTTGCATCCACTGTTCGCCCGTCGAAGGACTATCTGGATGAATGTACATCCTCTTCGGCATTTCTGGATCAGCTTTCCCAGCTACCATCCACCGACTGTAATTAGAAAGAGAAGAGAACGATATTATATCGAAAACAGGAACTAATCCAGATATTGTTCTTCTAAAATCACAGCACATTTCATCGCAATGTCACATTCAAAATAGATTCAAGATTTTGGATTTAAAACTGCTACATATGTGTTGTGGAGGCAATAGATAACGTATCTAAGTTACGTATTTATGTAATTGGAATCTTAAAAAAATGTATTTGGGATCTAAGGATGTCAAATCCAATAAATTACTAGATATTCATATAAATAAGAATAATTTTCTATAATAAATTTGGGGAATTCCAAAAGCTGGTATGGAATCCTTCTCATTGCCCTAAAATGATGACATAAAATTGAACTGTACTACCACTAAAATACCTTTAACAGATTGAAATTTCGAGAAGAACAACAAATAAGAATTTACAATAACTAAGTTGTATTACGCAAGGTATCGTTTCATTTGACATTACAATTTACAGTATCAGTATTAAGCAAAACTGGTGAATCGTCCTCTTAGAACTCAAATACAGATTCAATTTATTGTTCTAACAAATCCCGTAACTGCTTCGTGACTGTGACATCTAATTTGATCCAGCAGCATCACTAAAAGCAAAATCCGCATAGGTCTCGTTCTAATTATAGACAAACAGCATGTAATTTGTCACTGGTGACGATGACAGCACTAATATCGTAAGTACATGCAAAAAACACACAAACGGACTAATTACTCTACAACTACATATCTTCACCATCCATCAATCTTTGGATGGGTGGTGAAGGTATAGTCTTAGAATTACGAAATATCCATTTTAAACTAACTGGAACGATATCAGTGTTGAAGGATTTTTTAATTTATTGAAAGCACATTATCATATTGAGTATCAACCATAGCATCACTACAGTGATTGTATGAGAAAATTTAATCCTGAACAAATTGAGTTTATAAGGATAGGACAGGAACAAAGTATCAGAAATTGTGAAAATTAAAATGAATTTGTGATCAGACTATTTGCTTACATTGAAAACTTTAACAGGTCGTTGTTGAATTATTTTCCTTTTCATTACTTGGTTTGTTCGTTTCATATTAAACGATTTCTGTCACTACGACATATTTGTATTCATTGTCGAACAAGCGTCAATACCTTAGTACAATAAGAGGTCGAATAAGGCATCAGTGCTACTAAAACACTAAAGTCATACTATTTTTGAAAAATATGACTCGTTGAAAAACAGACAGACAGAAATTGTTTAGTCTGTAACAAGCATATTACTACTTCAAAAGCACCACAACAGTAAGATATCAGAGTGGTGTCTGTATTCATAAAGTATTTAGACAATAATATTTACATAGTTGAATGTTTTGCAAAAATAAAACAGGTTGTTTCGATTAACGATTCAATAAGATACATCATAGAGAAATGCGATGAGTTATTCGCAGTTATAGTCTTACCTTTTTCAAAATATCCTATCGCTGTCATCACTGATATTGTCCACATACTTGTTTCTATCAATGTTCCTTTCAAAATATTTTTCTTATAAACGATATGGTGATAACACCTATGTTGGCAAAATAATGTTAAATGAAACTGTGTCATGAGTATTCAACTCACAAAGAAAAAAGACTTGTGAATTCTAAGACTCTACAATGGGCATGAAGAAATAAGAAAGATGTTAAGAGACTCATGTAATTACAAAGAAATTATATAGGAATAGCATCTGATTCATACATTTGTACATAAAAGTCTAAATGGAACAATCAACTTCAAACAACTCTTGAAAAAATTGACATTGAAATATAGCAGCATCGTATGTGTCTTATTTGGTACACAAAATACTGTATACTGTTTTTTTTCAATCTAACCTTAATTTGAACAACAACGAGCATATTTGTTTTCAGTATACCAAATTCTATTGCACAGTTTACTAACGATCAATAGTAAAAAATATTTTTCACAATTACAGCAACGTCGCACATTAGTATCTGGAGGTTGTTAGAGAGGATTATTATAGTGAAAAAACTTACAAGATATCATAATGCAACTAATTGTACAATACTATAATGAGAGAAAATTGACACACGTGGTAAAATAAAAGCACTCATATTGCGCTAGTGATAACAAAAAGGAAAATTATTCACTTTAATAGAGTTCGTTTAGCACTCACTCTTATCACCATGTTATTTCTTCAAGGATTCATTTTAACTACTTTATACTATCTTTTTTCAAGAACGCATGCTTCGAGCTTTGTTCTATAGGCTAGAGGTGAAAACGGCCGTTTTTTTGTTTGTTAAAAAACTGACGTTTCTTGCGCTTCTAGCTCTTCAACGACATGTCTGGTGGAAAATAATGAGAATTTGGACACCCGCAAACCTATTTTATAATGCTCAATCAGTGCCTGTTTTTTGAAAAAAGTATTCCCAATTTGACAAGAGTCGTATAAGATTAGACAAAACTTTTTGGAAGATCAATCCAGAAAAGTGTTTCCACCAGTATGCCGTCCTTCGTGTAACAATATGTCACTACATGAGACAACCGCTCAACCAAAAACAGAAAAGACATTGAAAAAGTAATAAACTGTAATGTATTCTAACCTGTTATGGAATTTATATCTACAATCATCTGCGGCAACGATGTCCATTAGCAGAATATATTTGGACTTTTTGTCCAGACCCGAAACGCGTAGTTTGTAAGCGGGAAACATGCGCCTGAAACAATTTTCGAAACGTCAGTGATGTGTTGAGGTTATGTTTTAATCACCTGTTATGGAACTTGTAACGGTAGTCGTCCGCCGCTACGATGTCCAGCAGCAGGATATATTTCGCCTTGAGGTCCAGCCCGCTTACACGAAATTTCATCTGAGGAAACATTTGCCTATAAACAAAAAAAATCCAAGGGTCATTCGATGTTTGGAAAATTCGACATCCAGCCTCATCCTAAAGTGTTATTGTAGCCGGTCTATGTCAGTACCTAGGATCAAAAACACCTAAGATAAAGGACGTATAATCTTACACGTCATCAATCATAATCTTAATACAATCAACTAGGATGGATAATTAAAATACTATCAATATCAGAAGTGGGATATGGAAAGAATAAATTCACAAAGGCGTATGAATTATACCTATTGTTTTATGATCTCGGTTTGATATACCCTAATTATAAATAGTTTATTATTTGTATCAGAAGCAACAGCGATATTAATATTTTCCATAGTTTCCTACTACATAGTAGAAAAGAATTTCAGCAAGCTTATGTACCTTACAGCATTTACATACCTATTACATCCTCCAACTTCTAACGGTTACAACGTTGAATATTTTTTTAGGTTCTCAGTTGATGTTACAACTATTATTCTGAAGGGGTCAATACGTATAAGGGAGCTGTACTTTTTGTTATTAAACAAAGAGAACGTTTTGCCTAAAATTAGACAAGAGAAGAAACTGACTCAGCGTGTTTGCTAACCATGAAAACCGCCGTTCGTTATTCCTTGACGGTTCATCTCTCATTTCCTCTAATCAAAGCCTTCAGAGAACATTTATTATTGACTTGTTCCGAATACTTGGTTAGTTACTGCTCTAACTAAATTCCGAATATATTTCCTGTTAGTATAAATAATTTATCGGAGTTTCTGAAGCTAATAATAAATAACACATCACAGTTTCAGCAATATATACCGTAAAATCATAATTAAAAAAAGATAAACTTATACGGCCTATAGGTCAAGCAGAATTATACCAATTCTTGATGAGGACTCATAAACAATAACATTAAATTAGATAGAAATATAATGAATGAAGCAACAATGTATTCGATAACGTCGTGGCTTTGTGCATTTTTGAATTCCAAGAAACACTAAAACTCTAGTGTAGTCTCAAAACATAATAAACCCAATAAAAAACAAAGCGAACATATATATCTCACACCAATTAATAGCTCATATCAATTTTCCAGCTGCATTGAATAAACTTACATAAATTCTTAAAATTGAGCGATAACCATACAGAGAAATAACGTTCTAGATTAGAAGGTCGACGCAGTGTTGCCACACCGATGGAAGATGGCCTCTCGTCAAAACACTATAACTAACAAAATATTCCAATAATACGGAGGACTTTAAATATTTGCAGATTTTGATAAATACTACAGTAGAGAAATAAATAAATTAATGGATCGATGGAAAGCAAAATACGTGAAGCTGGGTGTAAACAGCAAAAAGCTGCTCTAGATTAAACCCATAATAATAATGACTAAGCCAAATATGCCTTGATAAAAGATTTAAGACTTAAATTCTTAAAACCGTCATTGTTTACTAGCTCAAGTTGTTTTTTGCTGATGTCATGAAGAATGAGAAGTTCTGAAATTTAATGTGTGTGGAGGGCGATAGTTAGATTTTGTGATCTTGTATTCCTATTATCTTTTATTGAAACTTATTTATGGGATGGTCTTTAATTGCAAATGATACTTTCGATTTATTTGGATTGTTCTAACCGTCTTCCAGGTATTTACATTTAAGTAATGTATAGAAATGCCTGAAATGTTTACAACCCCAAAGCATATCGTCGGCAGTTTTGCTCCTGAGATAGTTGCATGTAACATTTTACGTTGGCTCTTATGAGAAACATATCTTCCTGTGTACTATGAAGCTTGGTGGGAACTGAAATGTTTCCCAAAAATGTGTAGATTGACCGTCCTTTTTGTGAAATATTTGTGAAACTGAGTAGCCTGTGGTCATGGATATCTGACAGTACTTCGGACATACCGACATTGTTAAATCGAACGACTGGTTTCTATAACCATAATGAACCATGGCAACGACGCTTTGTCTGCGATTTGGTCATAAACTACAAAAAATCTGTCTATCATCTCCTCTTGTCACATTATCGGAAACAAGCGGTTACAGAGGTCGGTGCTGATCGGGGTTCAGGAAAGGTCAACGTCGGAGTATAAAAAAATTATCAGAGGATAGGGCGGTTGCGGCAGACCATATGGTGTGCCATGCACGTATTGCTTTCTCTCTCTGATATTCGATACTATCGACACACGAAGACAACGGCCGAAAAATACACAAGTGAGGTTGTTCCGGTCCAACGGGTTTGAGCTTCCTTGTTCTGCCGCCTGAAATCTGCATTCAGGTGTGATGGAGCTGTACATGCTCCTTGTCGGTAAAGAAACCGAACAGATACCTGAGCTCATTATTTCTTCGGAAATTGGGTTTTGGATAAGGCCATTACAATCTTAGATGCCAGAATACTGATATAGAGAATAAACAAGTCACTGCCAATACAAGTTTTGAAACAGCCAAGATGAGGGCAACTAAGTCACTCCTGGATCCTCAATTCTCTAGAAGCAAAGGAGCAATCGGACACTGTTCCCTGTGAAAACTATGCCAAACTGGAATAAGCAGAAGACGCCTGGCAAAACCTTCCAGCATGTTGGCAAAGAGATGGAGTTAATCTCTGGGTTACAGTAATTATTAAAATATCTGTGCAAACCGCTTTTTTAATGAATAGTTTTACTATTAAAACTTGACAATGTACGTTCAATGCCACTGCCGCCTATTGGCGACACTGACTGCTGTGCCTCCGACGCCTTAGGGTGATGCGAGTGATATATTATTATATGGTGCTTCAGTTCAGGTGGCTCGCTAATATAGTTCGGACGGGTGAATAGGCATACAGGTTAGACATTTTTGAAAACTTTTACGTACGCAGTTTGTCCTAAATTCTACCTGTAGTACCAGTGTCGCCATCTGGCGACCAAAAAAATATTTGTATTCAGGTAAGAAAATATTCGATAATTACAATATACCATTTAAAAAAATGTCCTGGCAAAAAAATTAAAATCCCCTTGGCTCCTGACCACATGTAACAACATTTTACTGGCAGCGAACGAGTTAACCAAAATTTTTAGTTCGGTGAGATAATTTCCCTCCAAAAAGGGTGTTTCACTTTCTTTAATGAAAGTGGCAAAACCTCTCACCAGAAGTAGAATTTCATGCCAAAACTGTGACGTAATAAGTTTTAGGATGACACCGTATGTCTCTCCTCAAGTTGGGCTTCCGTCAGATGTGAGTAAAGAAGCCTTTCTCTGACCTTGATCGGCTTATTCCTTCGGTGGAATGTATCTTTTAATGTATGAACTTCAAACAAGTTTTGAGCGAAAAAAGTGTCTAAACTTTCTCTTTGCAAATAGGAAGTATCATGAACAATCTATTAGCGAGGCAAAAACAAATATGAATTGCAAAAAAATAGACAAGAGGTACAAGAAGAAGTAAGTCAGACAAATACCATTACCATTAACATGGCGCTTCCCAACATGACGGAATGCAGCAATCATTGCCTCAGTGAGAGGATTTAGTATGTATGTATTCTGCGGACAGAAAATGCTGTTGGACCGATTCCACCAAACTGTTTCTCTGATTAGAGCTATGGAGGCTTTACCCACGGGTTTGGTCGCCACACATATAGTCACATTCATACCAATAACCATTAACTCATCGCAGCAGATGCGTGTGCGAGTATTCAAAGTCCAAAAACACCATTAATTAAAACTATGTCTGTGAGGGCATGCATCTCTCTTGGAGGCAACATAGCATTTTTCCATTAAAACGGACCCCGTTATTACCTTGTATCCTCTTTCCCCGCCCCCCCTCTTGGTACCTGTCATAATCCGGCTAAAACAAACAACTGATCGATATTTAGGCGCCAGTCGAAAATTGGTGTGCTGCTGGCTCTGCCGTCTCTCTCTTTCCTTCTGCTGGTCGGTAATCATATTCTGGACCGCTCGATCCTCGCGCAGTGTTAACAAGCACCAGCAGGCCACAAGAACAAGAACGAAGATATAGGCTGGTTAAGTTAAGGAGACCTCACACTGACTGGTGGTCTAGGGCGAATAAGGAATAAATTAATACTATCGAAAATAAACGCGTCAAGTAAAGTTAGCTACAAACATGTATATGATGATGATAACTTAATTTACAGATACAGATTAGTAGACTCAGGCAACAATAAAGTTCTAACTCTATTACTCATTACTAGTTATCAGATGTTCAGGTGGCATTATTATTATTTGACACCTCCATTGACTCAGCTGATTTTAATATACCCAACTTCTACCAGGAGCTGGTTCTCTTTAACACCAGTAGACGCATGAACAGACCCACTAACAACTTAGATTACCTCCATTTCCCTCTAGCCATAGCTACAATATATCCTCCAAAATGAGTTTCTATACTATAACTCAAAACAGATCAAGGAAGAGTTTGCCTTCATACGCATGCAAGGTAAAGCTTACACCAGTGAAGAGTCAGAAAGTGCCAAGATTTTTTCCGTAGCTTTGAAACTCTCTATCTCTTGTAAGAACATTCAGTATATCGTGACTTTTGCTCTACGGCATGGGTATTTTGTAAAAAACCAATAAAACATAAAAAATCTGTCATATTGCAGACTGTCATTCCACGTTTGCTCACTAGGATAGTTGTGAACGTCCATCTATGGAGGAATCACTCAACTAAACTACACGCATTGTTGGTTGCATATGTTTTGTGAGGCCGAGTGGTCTGTAGTTTTTATCTCGGAGCATAAAGTTGGTTGAATAGCAAGATCGCATTTGGATGATTATGTGTTTTGGTCTGCATGTGTATAAAATCAGTGATATTTTCTGTGTGAGAAAATCATTACTGAACATGCTGCCAATGAAGTATATCTATTAGCTGTGCCCGACGGGTTATTTATATGTTGTCCTTTCTGAAGACAGGTTACGTTCAATGTGATAAATTACGGAAAACTTTGAAGAGAAAGACGGAAAATCATCACCGCGCCCGCGTTGTTTGTAATTACTGTTAGCATGTATAGTGTAGATATGGCTTGTGAAA